TTCACATCCATCTGGGTTCCATAATGCATACTGTCTGCATTTGGGGGCCTGCAGCTATGCCTGTGCGGCCACTGTGTCCCAAATTACATGAATGGAACTGCCTGCACAGGCATGCCTTACATGCATACATACATACATACATACATACATACATACTAGGTCTAATTTGGACAATAGCCAATCAACCTAGCAGCTTGTCTTTGGAGTGTCGGAGGAAACCCATACAAGCAGATGGTGAACATGCAAATACTGCCCTAACCAAGATTCAAATTGGGGATCCCTGTGTAGCAAGGCATGCTAACTAGTGGTGCACCGAAATGAAAATTCCAATACCGAACCCGAAAATTCAGGATGCACTTGGCCGAAAACTGGAACGGACAATTTAAAATGTTTTTATTATTATTATTCAGTTGATGTGGCTGTAATTTTTGCATTGAAGTCATTAGGGGGTGTTTGTGCATTGAAGTCAATGGGACGCAATTATGCATTGAAGTCAATGGGATGCAGTTTTCCATTGAAGTCTATGGGGCGCGGTTTTGTATTGAAATCCATGGTGTGCGGTTTTCATTGAAGTCTATGGGGCACGGTTTTCATTGAAGTCTATGGGACACGGTTTTGCATTGAAGTTTTATCGGGCGTGGTTTTTCATTGCAGTCACTAGAGGACGATTTTGCATTGAAGTCACTAGGGGATGTTTTTGCATTGAAGTCTTTTTGACGTTGCATGCCATTATCTGCACCTTTTTTTTTGTATCAGCAAAATGCCAATAACTCTATTTTTGGCTGATATATCGGTGCATCCCTAATGCCCACCACTAAGCCATTGTGCTTCTTGCCTCTCCTCCTCTCCCAATCCCCAACACCATAATCGAATATATTTTTAAATAACCTGCTATCAGTCTCTTGCATAGCACTGTACAGCAGAGCTGAGGTGTAAGAGGAAATGGCAGCACAAGTGACAGAAAGATGAGGCTGCTTCTCTTTTCACTGTCCATTCACAGGCTGACTTGGGCTTAGAGGAAGTTGGTTGAATGATGCTGACCATCAGCCTGAGACATCTAGCGGCAGAAAAAAGTATTGAAAGTGAAATCTCTAAAGTTGAATATTGCAGAAAAAGCTAGTTTTATTATTTTATCTTTTAATGGGCTAATCATTTTTAGCAATATATAAACCGTATATTCACCGCGCAAATGTGATGTGAATATACATAAAACCTAACACCTGAAAAAGTGCACAATAAGTCACTCACCTAAATAAATAAATGAGTACATAAAATGTGTAAGCATATAGCTGCCCTAATAGTGAATAATCCTATAATCACCTCATAAAACAATGACAAATAAAAGCAGCGCAAAAAAAAAAAATATATATATAAAACACAATAGCCTGAGGTGATTGTAGGCGTATTAGTGCATTTGCGACAGAAACAATTGAGTACTGTACGTGATACTTTTTTATTTGCACTAACATACAATTTTGAGGAAAAGCTTTTGGGGTATGTCCCCTTCTTCAAAGTCCAAGCAGTACTATACAAATACATCATACACAGTCAGGCCATCAGATACCACCAAATATGTTCTGACCCAAGAGACCGAGATAAACATCTCGGGACACTAGCAGACGCCTTCCATAAGAACGGTTACAAGGACAAAACTATCAACACCGGCATAAACACAGCCTTGAGAACCCGAAGGGAAAACCTACTTCAGTACAAAGAGAAAAAAACAACCGTGTACCTCTAGTAACCACATGCAACCCGGCACTAGAAGGAATAAGAAAAATAATCAAAGATTTACAACCCATCATAACAGGGGATGGAACTCTGAAAGAAATATTCCAGCCACCCCCAATACTGGCCTTCAGACAACCCCCCAACCTCAGAAATAAACTAATCAGTAGGAAACTTCCTTCTGATCAAGATGTCACAAATAATGGAAGCAAACCCTGCAATGGAAAACGCTGCAAGCTGTGCACCCAAATCAATCCATCAAAAAGTGTCAGACACTCAAAAGGGATCTTCAATATTTCCGGATCATACAGCTGCACCTCCAGTAATGTTGTGTACCTCATCCAGTGCAGAAAATGCAGCAAAGGATCTTATGTTGGCGAAACAGGACAGAAGTTGCAAACAAGGATGAATTTGCACAGACATACCATCAAGGAACATAAAGAAGATGACCTCTGCACACCTGTAGGACACCATTTCACACAACCAGGCCACACAATGGGAGACCTCAATGTTTTAGTTCTTAAAGGAAATTTCAAATCCATTCAGGAAAGAAAAGCTTTTGAACTAAGAATGATAATTCTATTTGACACAAGAGATAACGGCCTTAATTTGGACATGGGATTCCTCACTCATTATCCAACTGTTTTATTACTATTAGCTCGAGCTTTACTCCCTCTGTGTGTGTGTAGTATCCCCCCTCCCCCCCTTTGCTGTATCTTATCTCCAGCCTCTTTTTTTTTTCATCCCTTTTAACATTCTGCTGAAACTTTGTGATTTGTGTAGTACTGCTTGGACTTTGAAGAAGGGGACTTACCCCGAAAGCTTGTCCTCAAAATTGTATGTTAGGGCAAATAAAAAAAGTATCACAAACAGTACTCAATTGTTTCTAAAACACAATAGCAAAGTGAAAATATGGCCAAAATATAACACTTCAATAAATATACATAAATATTTAAATCATTTGACATAAGTCCACCAGCTGAAAAATTAAAATTGTGATGAAGTACAAAGTCCTTATTGATCCACCAAGATGCCTCATTACAGAATACGTTGTGCGGCTTGACCCTGACACGTGTTTCGTCACCAGACTTTATCACCTTTGTCAGGGTCGAGCTGCACGACGTATTCTGTAATGAGGCCACCTTACATCCACCGCCGGAAGTGACGTATCGCTCGCGAGCAGCGAGGAGGATCGAGTTAGACGCTCACTTCATGTGATATACAGATACCCTTTACGGTTATTGTGGATATTTTGACATGCTTTCATTTATTTTATATGACTGCAATACTTTCTATCCAATAAATGGTTTTTAATGGATTCACGCTATGAGTTTCCTTTCACATCTTTCCCTGATTACGGAGTGTAATAGTTTGGAGGATGTCCCGCCATCATATCAGTCTCTAATTGATGAAAGGCTTGTTGATTGATGATCTGTACTACTCTGACACTCACCACAAGGGCTATTGCCTATCAGGTTTGGATGGGCCACGATATCTGGTGAGTGCCACTGAATTGGGGGAGGTTTTCCTCTGGAGCACGTGGTGATATTTGAATGCATTTTATTCAACCAGTTATCCTTATGTTGTTCACATGGTGATCTTGGTGGATCATTTTTCAGTTGGTGGACTTATGTCAAATGATTTAAATATTTGTGTATATTTATTGAAGTGTTATATTTTATGTCATATTTTCACTTTGCTATTTTGTTTTATTTTTATTTTTTATTTATTTTGTACTGCTTTTATTTGTCATAATTATTTTTATTGTGCTAATTTTTTATCAAGATCTGCTTTAAGAGCCTGTGCTGATAAAAAAAAATGTGGGGGCTGCCATTTTTTCCTAAACGCTTGAAAATGAGGGCTGTCAAACTGGCCATTTGGCTTCAATATCCAGTGGGATACTAACACAGATCAAGTATGCAGATGCTGCATGATTGTTTACATCATTGACACAGAAAGAAGTAGGTCCTAGAGGTTGCCAGGAAAGTAGCATTTTCTGATGGTATCCCTTTTTTTCATCCAAAGTGAATTTCTAGGTAGTAATGCCTTGACTCTCCAACTGAATAATTGTTCCAGTGCAGTGACCGTATGAATAGTTTTTAGTCTCACAGTTTAGGAGGAGTTGGGGGCACAAATCGGGAAATAGCTGGTCCCATTGGAGGCTTCCCATGTGGGTGATTTGCTTTGTGAGATATATCCTCTAATTTAAACTTGTGTACTGCAGATTCATTAGCTCTCATTCACACTAGCCTCATGCTTTTGTTTTAGAAAGGTGAGATATTGATCTGGGAAGTACTAATAAACTTTAGAGTATCTAGTCTGCTCTTTGATGCACAGATTCTTATTTTTCTGAATGCAGCTGAACCCAGGTAAACACAGTGTGCATTATACATTTAAAACCTTTACATGCATTTATATGTAATTTTAATATTTTGTATTTCAAAATGTTTCCTATACTGTCATCTCAGCTCCTCCATGGCCTCCTCCTTTCTAGTTCCCTTATTTCCTTTTCCCATGCTCATATCCAAAAATTCTTTAGAGTCTCTCCCATCCTCTGGAACTCTGTACCCCAATCTGTCCGGTTGTCTCCTACTTTGTCCACCTTTAGGCAATCCCCAAAAACTCATCTCTTCAGGGAAGCCTATCACACCTCTTCCTAACAACATAACTTTTCTTTCTTCATCAAATCATCCCCTCACAATCATTAGCTTTTGTAACACTTGATCCTCCCTTTTATATTGTAAGCTGTCATAATTGGGGCCCTTCTAATGCTTTTGTCTTGAATGGTATTGAAACTGTAGCTATTAAAACCTTTCTTTGATGACACAGTTGAAAACAAAATTCACTGCCATTGCGTATGTACTATCATGTATTCATTATTTATTTTATCTATTAATGATGGTATACAGATTTTTTTTTTTTTTGCAGCCTATTAGTGTTTTAAATGGATGTGAAAAATGCAAAACACCTTTTCACCTAAAGGCATTATTGTTTTACACAGAAAATACTCCAAAGAGTTCAACCAGCTGCAGTCCCGCTCCAGACTCTCCAATGAGCTCTAGTGAATCGGTAAAGAGTTTGACAGAACTGGTGCAACAGCCGTGTCCTACGATAGACACAAGCAAAGAAGGAGAAACACAGGAGTCCAGTGATGCAACTGCCGGTGACTCTCAGCCAGCTACACCTCTTCCATTCCCCGGGCAGTCTTCATTGAGCATCCAAGAACTGGTAGCCATGTCTCCTGAACTGGACACCTATGGCATCACCAAGAGAGTGAAGGAAGTTTTAACCGACAACAATTTAGGTACAGGCTCCTAAACATTATAATAATTTTATGTAGACATTTAATATTCCTGTTAGGGGACATGAGTGGTTTTGTAAAAGTGTTAACAATTTTATTAGGAAACAGAGTTATGTAATATTATTACATATTAATTGTATTTTGTCTACACTTATCCTCTTAATCCTTTCATCTCCACCCAGATTTATGTTGTCAATCTTTTTAAGGTGTGGTTATGCTTTCAGTGTAGCTGCTGTAAAAAAAAGTCTTTGCCAAGCTATACACATAATATTGTAGAGACTGGGTTTTGTCGTTGCTTCCAATGTGGTTGGCCCATCAAAGCTTCAGAGAAAAAAAATGTTGTGAAGAATGTTCATACATAAGTAAAAAGCACATATTCTCCCCATACTAGGCACAGATATTGATAATGTACCCAAACATGGGGTCATATGATTTGCCTATGAAAACTGATGCTCCAATCGAAGATCCATTTGTTTAGTTTTTAAAGGAGTGGGAAAACGTTAAGCCTGCCTCACACAACTGAAATTTTGTCCCGAGTCCTGCTAAATCAGCAAAAATCTGAGCTGTGGGTGTCCCTGTCATCACCATGCTGGGTGAAAAATTGCAGGCCAAACAGTGACTGCATCCAGTCAGATGCAGTCACTGTTCTGGTATTCTAAAAGCCGTGAGTGTCAGGCACCAATTAGCATGGGAGATTCATTCATAGACATTGGGAGAGAATTACTAAAACTGGTGAACCTGCAGCTGTACATGGTAACCAATAGGCTTCTAACTTCAGCTTGTTTATTTAAAATGGAACTGCACTGCATCTGAGCACCATAAATCAAAAACGCTGTTTAAAGCAGAGTTCCAGTTGAATAAAAACAAATAAAAGTCAGCAGCTACAAAAACTGTAGCTGCTGACTTTTAAAATACAGACACTTACCTGTCCTTGGTCCAGTGGTGTCCTCACCACGGCAAGTTTCACTAGCTGTCTTCTCTCCCCGGCGCCGTTATCTTCAGTGTGGGCCCCCAGCTGTGACAGCTTGTGGCTTCACAGCCAGGTGCTCACTGCGCATTCGCGAGTAGCGCTGGACTTTGTGAATGGTCCCGAAGTCTTGACCTTTCATGTGTCCCAGGAGACTACGGGGAGGGTGGGAGTAGGACAACTTCCGCTTCTGATCTCCTTAGGCGATCGCAGTGGGAGTGGGTACCTGTCAAATTCAGGTTCCTGCTCCCCAAAGGTGCCAATCCTTAACGGGGGAGCGGGGGACAAAGGGAACTTCCCCTTTTGGGTGGAGCTCCGCTTTAATTCATTTTTAATATTCAAAGCAAAATCAGCTATCTATCCATGTCTCTGTGCTTTATTTTGCTGAGAAATCATTTTGGAAAACACCCTCCGGCATTTTTGGCAGTGCCCATCTTGAGTAAGGGGAGATGATTCATGTAGCATTTACTTAGCTCAGGAATATGCTGAGCTGAGAACCCTCCCTCCTATCCTGAAGACTCCTGGGATGTATGACATCATTTGCCTAGGCATGAAAACCAGGAAGTAACTGAAGAAATGTAAAAAAAAAAAGTTTAAAACAAGTAAATATGTTATACTTTCCTACCTATTTAAAAATGCTAGTAGCATAAGGATTACAAATAGTCCATGTTGATTGAGAGAATGAAGTTCCACTTTAAGCTTTGGCAATAAAACCTGTAAGCCAATTGGTTTCTATGCAGAGCTGCACTATATTTTGCACTCTCCTGTTTTCGTAAATAACCTCCATTGTTTTTCATGAACGGAAGAACCTGTTAGTATTTATGTGTATTGCTAGCCCTAAGTTCTCTGTGTAGTTTTTATTTGCTGGGATTTTCACTCACTTTGACTCTTGGTGATCACTGTCACATGAATAGGATGCAAAGAATTAATTCCCACTCTATCCAAAACTTACAAAAATATTTTGTTTCGAAGTTAATTTTTTTCCCAGTCTTTCCTAGCAAAGTCCCAAGCCATAGTAACAATAAATTGATAAAATGTTTTTGGATATATCTATACAGTGCCCAGGCCTGAGGAAATAGTCTGATGGGTCATTTATTGGATTACCATGTCCTTATTCATTCATTGCACCAGAATAACCAAAAGATCATTGAAAACAAATATTTATTAGCTGATTTTCAGGCCCACAATGCCCTACACAACCCTGGGGTTCTGCTATTGCCCCCAAAAATAGTATAAAAAGACCTTTCAAATAAGCAATTCCTCTTTTTGTTAGCTCATGTTATCAGTTTAAAAATAAACTGTTTCATAGTTTTAGTATTTTAACAAACATAGAAAGTTGTATCTTATTTTATGTTAGCAAACGTATGACTACTGAGAAAAGAAAACCATTTCAGGTCACTAAAAAAAGGTCAATGTGTGCTCACCTCTCAAAGAGGCATTGTTTTTTTTTTAATGGTTGTTTCTACCTATGTTTCCTGTAGGTCAACGACTGTTTGGGGAAACTATTCTTGGGCTCACTCAAGGCTCGGTCTCTGATTTGCTGGCTAGACCAAAGCCATGGCATAAACTTAGCTTGAAAGGAAGAGAACCATTTGTACGCATGCAGCTTTGGCTCAATGACCCAAACAATGTAGATAAGCTTATGGATATGAAGCGGATGGAAAAGAAAGGTATATTTCTGATTTTTTTTTTTTTTTTTTGTGCTCCATGTACATTGAATGCCCAAGAGGAGTTTACCATTTTGCCTGTACAAGCAACTAATGTTATCCTATGTGTCCATGCACATTTGGTAGTCTTGAGGCATTTTTTAAGCTGTGTTTAGAGGCAGGAAAAACATCAATTTGTTTTTTTTTTTTTTCCTGCTAGAAAAACGCTCTAAAAAAATTCAAAGGGCTCCTGAACTCTAGCACATAAAAAAAAAAAAACACGCTTAAAATTAGCTATTTTCTGCCAAGAGCACTGGTGTTTTTTTAAGCCAGTGTACATGGAGCCTAAGTATTTCTGAAGCTGTAGAATTGCTAACAGACAATGGACTTCAGAATTTTATATTCCAATAAACCAAAATGAGATTAACATATGTATCTCAATTCAAGAACCTGGAGTAGTTTTTAGAAGTTGATGTGTGCTTGAAAGCATAGCATTATTAAGACTTTTGTAATATAATTTATGGTGGGAAAGAATTGCTATGGTGCCTTACTAAGGATTAGATAGTCTCCTGCACCATCTAGTGGTTAAATAATGTTAAACATAGCAAACAGAGACCAGTGTGTTTTACCATGATTGCACAATAATTCATGTGTTATATTGTATATCCTAGCAGGAATATTATCAGGTGTTTTTAACTATATTTTCAGCATGAAAGGAAAACTCCAAAAAACAAATATATATATATATATATATATATATATATATATATATATATATAAATAAAGGTGAAACTCGAAAAATTAGAATATCGTGCAAAAGTTCATTTATTTCAGTAATGCAACTTAAACAGTGAAACTAATATATGAGATAGACTCATTACATGCAAAACAAGATATTTCAAGCCGTGATTTGTCATAATTGTGATGATTATGGCTTACAGCTCATAAAAACCCCAAATCCACAATCTCAGAAAATTAGAATATTACATGCAATCAATAAAACAAGGATTGTACATAGAACAATATCGGAGCTCTGAAAGTATAAGCATGCATATGTACTCAGTACTTGGTTTGGGCCCCTTTTGCAACAATTACTGCCTCAATGCGGCGTGGCATGGAAGCTATCAGCCTGTGGCACTACTGAGGTGTTATGGAAGACCAGGATGCTTCAATAGCGGCCTTCACCTCTTCTGCATTGTTCGGTCTCATGTTTCTCACCTTTCTCTTGGCAATACCCCATAGATTCTCTATGGGGTTCAGGTCAGGCGAGTTTGCTGGCCAATCAAGCACAGTAATCCCACGGTCATTAAACCAGGTTTTGGTGCTTTTGGCAGTGTGGGCAGGTGCCAAGTCCTGCTGGAAAATGAAGTCAGCATCCCCATAAAGCTCGTCTGTGGAAGGAAGCATGAAGTACTCCAAAATCTCCTGGTAGATGGCTGTGTTGACCCTTAATGAACTTGTGGACTTAATGAAGCATGGCTCCCCAAATCAACACAGACTGTGGAAACTTCACACTGGACTTCAAGCATCTTGCAGTGTGTGCCTCTCCATTCTTCCTCCATACTCTGGGTTTCCAAATGAGATGCAAAAGTTGCTCTCATCAGAAAAGAGGACTTTGGACCACTGAGCAACAGACCAGCTCTGTTTTTCTTTAGCCCAGGTAAGACGCTTCTGACGTTGTTTGTTGTTCAGGAGCGGCTTGACAAGAGAATACAACATTTTAAGCCCATGTCCAGGATCCGTCTGTGTGTGTGTGTGGTGGCTCTTGATACACTGACTCCAGTCTCAGTCCACTCCTTGTGAAAGTCCCCAACACTTTTGAATGGCCTTTTCCTGACAATCCTCTCCAGGCTGTGGTCATCCCTGCTGCTTGTGTACCTTTTTCTTCCACACTTTTCCCTCCCACATAACTTTTCTATTAATGTGCTTTGATACAGCACTTTGGGAACATCCAACTTCTTTTGCAATTACCTTTTGAGGCTTTCCCTTCTTATGAAGGGTGTCAGTGATGGTTTTCTGCACAACTATCAGGTCAGCATGGTTGTGATTCCTACTGAACCAGACTGAGAGAACATTTAAAGGCTGAGGAACCCTTTGCAGGTGTTATGTCATTAGCTGATTAGAGTGGGACACTTTGAGCCTAGAATATTTCACCTTTTCACAATATTCTAATTTTCTGAGATTGTGGATTTAGGGTTTTCATGAGCTGTAAGCCATAATCATCACAATTATGACAAATCACGGCTTGAACTATCTTGCTTTGCATGTAATGAGTCTATCTCATATATTAGTTTCATCTTTTAAGTTGCATTACTGAAATAAATAAACTTTTGCATGATATTCTAATTTTTCGAGTTTCACCTGTATATGTATATATGTATGTGTATATATATATATATATAGATATATATATATATATATATATATATATATATATATATATATATTAAATATGCTTCCATTGCAATTGGCATTTTATTTATGTTGAAACATTTTTTAAGCCACTTCAAGGCTAAAGGGATGCAGACTGTGCTTCTTTTGTTGTGCCACAACCTTATAATTTTACCTTTTTTAATACTCTCCATAACTGGTGGCTGGAGATGGCTCCTTTTCTTAGTACATTACTGAGACTGCTAGTGTTAAAGAAGGAAGACCCAGAGCTCCTCCGCACTTGAGAAATGACCTGCTATAGCAAACATTTTGAGACCAGAGAAAGATACTTTTGCAATAACTTTGCAACATATAATCATTCATTTGAAGGAGATTGTTTTTCTCCACAAAACTGGGATTACACTTCAAAATACAAACATTTGCTGGTTTTAACACCCAGACCTGCTGCTATTTCTAACCTTCATTCTCAACCAATAGACTGAAGCAGCATCTTTTTTTTTTTTTTAACATTAAGGTTGTATATGAATTTTGGTTGATACTCTGATTATTTTCTGAGGTGAAAATCAATAAATACTTTTCTTTCTTTACAGCATATATGAAAAGACGACACAGCTCAGTGAGTGACAGTCAGCCATGTGACCCTCCATCTGCAGGCTTGGATTACAGTCAGGGTTCCAGTCCCCAGCCGCAACATCAGCTGAAGAAGCCACGAGTAGTGCTGGCTCCGGAGGAGAAAAGAAGCCCTGAAAAGGGCATACCAGCAAAAGCCATACCCTTCTCCAAAAACTATAGAGGAGCTTGCCACACAGCTAAACCTGAAAACCAGCACTGTTATTAACTGGTTCCATAATTACAGGTAAAAACCGTTACTGAGCCACCCTTTTATACTGACAATATAGGTTTTCTGGTATTGCTTCTAAATATTAAGTGACGCATCCTTTAAGGCAGGACCAAGAGGAGATATGCAAAGTGCAACTGACAGCAAATCTATAGTAAGTAGGCAGGTTACTTCTGATTGGTTGCCATTTGTCAGGGCACTTACAGACATAAGACTAGCTTCACCCAATCTAACTAGTAAGTATTGGATCAGGTTATGATGGTATGCATATAAAAATGACTTTGCCAGGCAATCCCTGAGGCCATATCACTCTCTGATCACTGTTTTCCTAGCAGATAAAAATTCAGAAATCCTGCAGCCCTTATGCCAATATCCAGATCCACCCTGGTGCCCAGGAAACGTAAATGTTCTCCATCATAACAAAAAGATGCAAACTTTCCAGATGATTAGACCTCAAAACTGCATATTAGAGGTCATTATAGCACCTTGATAAGCTGCCATTGTGGGGAAACACTCCTCAATTACATGCACCTTCAATTGTGTTCAGGGATACATGTTGCTATTTCCAACATCCAAATACATAAAAACAGTAATCACAGGTAGTGTAAGTATTGTCCTTCATCAATTTTATTTAAAAACACTACTAAAACATTACAACTAAACCTGCCATTATACTATATTTGACAATCGCTACATACAGGAAACAAATGGCATTGCTGATTCAAAAGTAAAAACAGAATGTCAGATGAGCAATCTCCACCATACATATTCTGCCCAGTGGGACGTCTGCAGGGGTTAGCATTCAGATCTGTCATTCCATTTGTAGGAATATCATTCACTTGTAGTAACTCTTCATGTACTAGTTTGTAATAATCTGATTACATTTTCTTTTCAAAACTCAAATCTCAGTAGACTGAATACTTATCTGTGCTGAACATTACAAAATATCAATTCACATGAAATAAACAAATTTCTCATTATTCCTTCAATTATTGCAAATGCAGGGCAGCTCTTATTCAAAACCGCATTAAATAAATGATCTGTTGCAATATACAAAATAACTAAAAATTGTTACAAAAATGATATGCATACATAGCTCAGTGCTGGACATAATCTTTGTACAAAGACAAATTCTAGTGCTGAGTTATGCAAGCAGCCCATTTTTGGAACATTTTGTTGAACATTTTTTTTTACTGTCATTGGCACTCCCTTTATGGAAATATTCTATAATGTGTATGGTCCAAATGTATAAACAGTGGGTCACAAGTAGAAATATTTATTTTGTTGTAGTTTGTTGGATTATTAGAATGGTGGTATGGGTATCAAAGGGTCTAGTGGTTTTAAAGTCCAGAGATTTCCCATGTAATATCAGTGATATGCACATAGCTTCAGTATGCCAAGGAAGTTAACTGTAGATGATAGTTGGCATATACTCGAAGGAGCAGGGCCCTCGAACCCCTTGTGTACTGTTTTGTTACTGTATTGTCTCAGGTTCTGTCCCCCACTATAATGTACAGCGCTGAGCAAACCTTTTGGCACTATATAAATACTGTATAATAATAATAATATACAGTATTTCACTTGAGCGGGTTTATCGTTTTATCACATTTATTGTGGAAGTGCTTTGTGTAAATATCTTAAAAAGATATTAAAAAATGTTGTTTGCAAATGACTTGTTGAGGACCTTTGGTTGCAGTTCTACCCAAGATTCAGTGATGGATACTGATTGTGATGAGTATTGGTCTGTGATGACAGTAATCTTTAGCAATATTGTATCACTATACCCAATCTGACATTTTCTTACAGTACACAATTTTTTGTAGAATTACCTACACTGAATATTATGCATGGACCCTTGATGGTGATGGGAGGTGTACCTAAGAGTCCATGTTTCAATAATTTTGGCCAGTACTGTCCTGAAGGTTTAGATGGACTACCAGAAACAATAAAGGGCTTGTGTCACGATGAGATTCAGATAGACCATTAAGAATCATTAGCCACACTATACCTGAATTGCTATCATTGAGCCAAATACATAGGATGTTTCATGTTTTCACTAGATAGAAGTAAGCTTGAATATTCTTCATAATTTATAAATCTGGCTTTTTGTTTTTTTTTTTCTTCTGTAGGTCTCGTATACGCAGAGAACTGTTCATTGAAGAAATTCAAGCAGGTAGCCATGGACAAATTGGTTCCAGTGATTCCCCATCAGCTACAAGCAGTAGAGCAGCTCAAAGTTCAGAGGGAGATAGCTGTGATGGAGTAGATATGGAAAGCACAAGTGATGGGAAACATGGTATATTAGAAGGAGATGAATTCAACAGCGACAACTCAAAGTCTCAGGGAGGACAGACTGATTCAGCTTTTGAAGAGGGTGAAGACGCTAGATCTACTGAGAAACCAGAATCCACCCGGTCAGACGGAGACAGCTTGGTTGATAGGGAGGAAGAAGGCCGGAGAAAGCTGCAAAGTCGGACTTCCCTTCCTGGAACTCGGTGTTCTGGGGAAACTTTAGACATAACACCGAAATCTGCTACTGAAAAGCATGCCTCTACCTCAGCTGCCTCAAGCTTGGTTCCCACAAAGGAAGGTTTCCAAAAACCTAAAGAGGATTCTGAGAAACTATCCAGCGTGCCAAGTACAAGCTCACAGAAAGGAAACTCTATCCAGAGCTTGTTCAGCTTTTCTGAGACATCAAGTTCCAAAAACACACGGGACAACACCTTGAGGAAAAAGAAAGCCGCAAACTTGAACAGCATAATTCATCGTTTAGAGAAGGCCGCTAGCCGGGAAGAGCCCATAGAATGGGAGTTTTGAGATTAAGTTAACCCTGGTTGCAGCAAACTAGGGGAATTAAAATGGACTTTTCACTGGTTATATCGTATTGCGCACTTATAGCCCTGCAGGCCACAGGGCAAAAACGCCATAGGCCAAGGTGCATATAGAATACAAAAAGGAGCATTAAGCCCACTTTTATGTTGTGTTTTCGAGGACGAAAACTGAAATATGTAGTCAAGCTTTTTTGTACCCTGAAGTGTTTTTACTATTGCCCAAGTGATTTTCACACTTTCTGGAATAACTTACAGCTTTGCCTTGTGCCCACTTTTTTAATGTGGGCTTAAAAAAGTACAAAAAAAAAATCTAAAAAAAAAAAAGAAATAGAGGAAAAAAAAAAGATTGAACCCACAAAGTTAATGGGGCTTTTTATCTGCCATGTAATGGCCATAGAGCGATAATACACTATGATCTTCTTATACCAGGAAAAGGAGGAGATTTTTTCAGGAAAAAATGTTGTCCTTTTTATTATTTTAGTTTTCATTTTTAGTAGCTGTTTCAGTTGCCACTAAGAGATTGCACAGTCAACTGACTCTAAACACACTAGTTTGGAATCCTATTTTCAAGAAGAAAAAAATGCCTGCTTGGAACTCTGAGATGAAATTAAAACACACGACTCCACTTATTTTCTAACAAAAAGTCACATCAGGAAAATATCTTAATTTGTGGTAGCTGACGTAGTGTTTTTCTTGTTAGTGAAAATAGATATCCAGTGCACATTGTTTCATAGCTTTAACCGATTCTGGTCGTTTCCAGATCAGAGTTTGTTTATTACACTCCATTTTAGGCCAAATCAGGACAAAAAAAATCTGAATTTAGGTATTTTATAATCTGCTTTTTAACCTCTAACCACAGAGCACGCTGATCAGACCTCATATTTTTGGAGGGCAGAAGGGTACAAGTTGGAATGGCAGACCTGTACTGGTTGATTAGTGGGCTATAAGTACACCCTTACAGTATTCCCTTCATAGAATCATTTCTATCTGTTGCATTACTTCAACGGACAACATCCGACTTTAATAAAGTTATATTATTACCAAATATGCTGCCAGCAGAATGAGTATAAAAGACATTTTAAATGCAGACTAATCAAAAACTTTTTGTAAAAAAAACAGAAACACAGCAAACCTCTTACATAGAACTATGTAAATAGAACCTAAAACCAAAACAACCGTTTAACTACACTGCATTTGTGGCTCTAAGCAATCTTTTTATACAAGCGTAGGCTCTTGTTTTAAGTACGACACCCATTCCAATTTGTATCCTGTTCCTTCTAGCTGTCAATATATGTGTGAGAGAGAACAGAGACGTGTGAGATTACCCGTGTATGCAATTTTATAAGTCTGTGTATTTTCTTATGTATTTGTGCACACATAGAGTGCATTACTGCCACCTTTTTTCAATAAGCTGGTTGATCTGCTATGGCTTCTACAAGATTTGCTGAACTAGGCTCGTTTATCGCCATATCTTAAAAACTAACAATAGATGATTTCAGTATATATATATTTTTTTTGCTTATTTATAGGTGCTGTATTTTATTATCTGATTGTTAGGAAGGGATGAAACGGGGGCAAATATTCTTTAGAGGGATAGACTGCCGGCAGTATTGGGTATAATTTACAAGATGTAGTTGTCATACTGTATATTATTGATTTTAAAGATTTTTTTTTCTTTGATCTTATCGTGTATCATTGGAGCATTGTGTCTTAGGTCAGCATCTTTTGATGACGTTATTTGGTGCATTTGTTACTTATGTTTTAATAATATTACATTTTTTGTTGATTTTATTTTTTATTTCGGGTCCCTTTTTCATATAGGGGATAGGAGTGTTGTGTTTCTAGCTACACTCTCCTATGCTAAACCTCATTGAGCTTGTATTATTTAGTAGACAAAGTTTAATGTGTAGAACCACAAAAAATGCTCTTTACATGCTTTGGTAAGATGCAGTAGCACTTCAGGTTTTAAGACAGACAAATTTCTTGATAAACAATAGAGAAAACAAAAAAATGCAAATAAGAAAAAGTGGCTCTAAGAGGCAAAAAATGGGCAAGTTAGAGAAAAAAATTCATATTTTTATGTCATCATCAAACTGTCTTTATATCAGCACATTATTAGTTGTTAAATATTTTTTGTCAATATATTTAAATGCGTTTGTTATAAAATTAGTTTATAACTACAGGATCTCGTGTTGTCCAATTACACAGAATCTTACAAATTATAAAAAGCCAAAAACATTGTTGTTTTCGATTAAAAATATCTTACTGAACTTTTAAATTTAAAAGTGCCAGTTGTGGTGGCTTGGACATATTAAATTGTTTTTTCAGAAACTATTCTGAGTGTATCCCAACCTGGAAGAAACTTTCGATGCAGTCATTTTTAGCCTTTACGTAAAGCCTAAGTTTACTTTAAAAATAAAGAATAAGCACGAAGGACATTACTTAGCTTCAGTGAGCTGTGTTTACTAATGCATAACTATGCCTACCCTTTCCTACCAGCCCCTCCATTCATAGAGGGTGTAAAACAGCTTCTATGAATGAAAAATTATCTAAGAATGGAGGATGGGTGGGTGGAGGATTGAAAGCTCCACCCCCTCCATTCATAGATGTATCATTCATAGAAGCTGTAGTACAATTTCTGTGAATGGCAGAGGTGGGTGGAAAGTGTAGCCATAAAGCAGGCATTCTCAGTGAGAGCCTGTGACAGCTCCCTTAGTTCTATTAACCCTCTCTGCACAGGAAGATCACAGTGGCAGGGAAGGTTGGGCACTGGAGGAGGATTTGTACTAGGTGAGGACACAGCAGCACAGGGACAAATCTCACTGAAATTAGGTGATGTCCCTTGTGCTTATTTTTGTTATTTTTAATATCGTTAATAATATTTTTTTAATTAAAACTTAGACTTTAAATTTGGTTGATTGGAGTGAAGGTCCTCTTTAATGCCTTTTACAGGAAGACCCATGACCTTGGCCTGTAAAAGTCTGAACCAACCTGCTTCTCTACTATTGCAATAAACAAATTGAAAATAAAATACTGCTAAATTTTAGCATGACATTTTCATTCTGATTTAATGTATTTTAGGCCCAGGGCTCTAAGGTATCTTAAATGCCAAGCTTCTGTTCAAAGGTAAATAGACATTAGTACACTAAGAGTACATGCATGGCAGACAGAGAAATTGTGCTGCCTTAATAAAAGTTTACTTAACATCATGTCCTTTTAGATCCTGAATTCTAATAAACTATACCTGCCAACATTTCTAAAGGTTTTAAAATACATGAGCCCATCCCTCAACTGTCCTACCTACCAGTCGCCTAATTCAGATGCCCCTACTCAGACACCATAGCCAGGTCTCTGATATTTACTTATTCACTGCAGTCAAAGCAATACAGCTTGTTCAAGACTGAATGGATAGTAAAGGAGCAGCAGCTCGCTGATTAGGTAACTCCTGCGCCCTCCTATATTAGCAAGCTTCATTTGTTAGATTCAAAGTACTGTGCAATGCAGTAAAGCCCGGTTAGCTTACAGTACTGCTTCTCTCTCGGTATGAAGGCTATCGTACAGGAGATTACAAGATAGTACAAAGACTAATGGCACTGCTATTTAAGGATGAATTTAAAGTGTATGTAAACCCGAATTATGATCTTTTTTGGTCCCTTTTGCCCTGCTAAATGTACTATTGAAAGCAATTTGTTACATCTGTCCGATAAGTTCTGAAACAATACCTGTTGCTTTTGCTGGGAATCTTGTGAGCTAACAACTTCTTGTGGTTACTGCAGTCAGTTACATTGTTCTTTGAGAACTAAAGAACCCCACCCAGCTATGTAATGGACAGTAGAGGGGGTGGTGGTTCATAGTCCTAGTCCTACCTAGTTTCTGTTAACTTGATTCAGGAGGGCAAGTAAGCATTATCAATCTAGGGCTGGAAGTGTGTTATTGGCAGGATCAGCAGGTGAAAAAAAAAGGAAAAAATATGCAAACCAGCACGTTTAGGGACTGGTAGGCTGCAATATATCAAAATGTTTTTGGGTTTAGATACACTTTAAGTACTAAGGAATACTGGAGCACAGGGTTACAATCAGGTATTTTTTATCTGTATACACTTTTAGGTACTTGTGTCCTCACTCTAACTTTCATACCATAGCAAAGTAATTTGTGACACATTTTCTAGTGATGTTTGTACAACATAATAGAATATGAAGTTTATAATACACATTAAAATATTCATAATCCACAGTGCTCATTTCCATGTGAGATGGTAGTGAGCATGATGAATTATTTTATAGAATAAGAAATAAATTAACCAGTTTTAAACATCCCTAAATTTACTTAGCACATTTATGCCTAGTTTAATGTGGACCAGCACTAGATGGGGTAATACAAACCATTCTATTTTATGCAGGTCACTTCTGTGATGTATGTTCTTTTGTCTCCATTCAGAGAGTAAGTTTTCCTAAATTCAAAAATCTTCATTCATATTATTAAAATGTCACATACAAATGAACAGATCTTTTTGAACTGACATTTATTTTAATTAAGATACCTAATTTACTTTAAGATCTTTAGTCACCCTGTAAATCATAAACCAGACATGAATATTCCAAATTAGCCTGGTAATATGTATGTGAAATGGTGCAAAAGGTTTCCATTAACCTCCATTTGTTCCTTGTGCTATGTCTGTCTAGAGGACCTACATGACAACCTCAGTGGTTTCAGTAGTGAGTCCACCACTACCAAAACAGCCGGTAGCAGCACACAGAGTAGATCCATAAAGCTGGACCTCACATGACTGCAAGGGCAATTGTATTTAACACACAGCATTCCCACTTGAGCCTTAGGCCTCATGCACAGGACGTTTTAAAAACACTGCTCATTTTGGCAGAAAAAAACGCCTGACGCTTGTAAAAGTGTCTAATGCTGTCTAGGCATCAAGCACTTGGACGTTAATACGTTTCAATGGCTAGAATAATAATTTATTCTGGCCACTGA